ATAAGCAATAAATGAAAGGAGTATAATTTTAATGGATTCTATTAAATCCATAACCTTTCACTTACTAACATCATTTCAACCACCTATACAAAACCGGAGTCAATTGGGGTAGAAATGGATAGGTTTTAATTTCAAACAGAATGACGTTACTATCGATCTTCATTTCCCTTTCATAAACTTGCACCTAAAACTTGCCTTTCAAGTATCTCTGGTTTCCACAGGCTTTATGGATTTTTCTGAAACCCAAAAGTATTTGTTAGAATATCCTGAGTAACCCAAAAATCAAGACCAATATGTCATAACAAAAGTGTTTTTTCAGTTGGTTGCTCTCCTCTTTTGCTATTTTTTAAAAAAGATATTTATTTTTTATTTATCTATTTTGTAGAAGACCTGGGATGTAGGCCAGAAGTGGCAGAGTGGGTGAGAAGATTCACCAGAGAAAGAGTGGAGAGCAGAACAAGTGGATTTACTGCTAAGGCAAGCAGTGGGTGAGACAGCAGAGGTTTGCTGCACCCTATGTGGGTCAGCTCCTTGACCAGGGATTGAACTCAGGCTGCAGCAGTAATAGTGCTGAGACTTAACTCCTAAGCCACTTCTTAGGAGACTCTTCTTGCTATTAAACAGGAAACCAGTGTGGCAATCAATATGGTCACTGTCTCTTACACAACTGAGGCTTTCCTAAAAGAAAGAGCTGTCTCAGTATCCATCCATTGCTATGTGAGGTTTACCCTCAGTTAGAAAACTTTAAGAGTAGATGAGTAAGCCTGGATCTCACTTCTCCCATGTCAGATCCCTGAGGTCTGAGATCAGGTCCTACGTCCATTCTTCAAGCAAAATAAGACAAAACCCTGATCTCTCTACTGAGATTAATCCATGAGTCACTGTTCCTGCTGCTCTTCTAAAAACACATTTGTATATCAGTATTCCCCATAGAATGACACTTATCTTTGCAGGCATCTTCAATGTCTTTTCTCTGAAGCCTTCCCTGACAACCTCAGATAATGCAGGTTTTCTCCACTATGTGTTTTGGAAATGTGTCCATAATCATTTGAAATGGGATTTTTTTTTAAAGATTTATTTATTTGTGTCCACAACAACTGGAGTACAGGACAGCTGTGTTAAGATGATTCGCCAGAGACAGAGCGTGGAGCAGATAAGGCAGATCGATCCAGTGAAATACATTGCTGAGGGGAGCAGTGGGCATGCCATGTGGGTAACCTCCCTGGCAGGAGATCGAATTACAGTAACTATAACAGGAGATATTGAGAAATGAATTCTCAATTATAGACTCCTGCATTATTAATGGCTAGTTGTTAATAAACAGTTGCAGGAACAAAATTTATCTTTTGATCATATGGAAAAATACATCTATGACTGTGACTTATATACATAGTTTTAGAATGTACAACACATTAGAATATATACAATTCACTCACTTCATCACATTTAGCACTTAGCAGGTTAATGGCATTTTCTAGTTTAAATTGGAAGAAATATTTTTATACTTATATACTATATATAGTTATATACACATAGTATGTATATATTATATTACTATATAGTATATTTATAAATTGTATATTTATAAATTACATCATATTCTTTTTTCTCTAACCCAGCATATCCTAACATGTAATCTCTAGTTATTGAATTTTAAAAGGAACAAACAGAAGTGAAACATGACACATAGAAAAACTAGTAAATGTCAAATGAATGCAACAATTTAAATAAATGGTTCTTAGTGCCTGTTGTGTATTCTGAGAGTTCTGATACAAAAACAAGCACTGGAGACAAAATGGCTGCTAAAGCCTTTAAAATTGGATGATTCAGCAAACTGTGGAGAAAGGTTAAGTCAATGTAGAATACAAGGATCAAGCATGAAAACATAAAGCTAACGAAGGCATAGCATATGAAGAATAAAGCAAAGAATATGTCTGCACATCAGAAGATTAGTGATTGCAGATAAATGAGTAAGAATGAAAAGACAGTGCCTTCTCACTGTTTTCAAGGTACACACCCACATGTTAGCACTTACATGTATTTTTGATTTGCCTGTCCATCTCTCCCATGAAGGAAGCATTTCTACAGAGCAGGGTAGCAGCTTGAAGTGTTCCACCCACATAATTTGCCTCATTAAATGATTATTCAGTTGAACTGAACAGCTCATTTAGGCACTAGAGACTTCTCATACACCTCCCTGACATCCTTGTCTTTCATAGCATGACTAATTCTCCTCATGCCATTGTCTCAGCGTTAGGTTTCCTTGTCTACAAAATTATGAAGTGAAAAAGATTTAGTTTTTAGATATAAAATACAAAAAGAGACAAACCTCCTGATTATTCAGTGTGATGTAACACATGTCTTATAATTCCAGGTTGTCCCTAAGATATCAGATGCTCTAGCATCTCAAGATGTCAAGTAAACAGCAATAATATTATTATCCCATTGCATATCTTTCTCTTAGTGAGCTTTCTTCTTTTAAATTTAGTTAGTCCCATATTAATACATTGCAAGTCCCCCATTATAATTCTGCATTATTATGCAAATGGTTTTCTTAAGAAATCAAACAGTATTATTTCATATAAGTAGTACCTTATGCATACTTCAATCATGAATCATCTGGTGATTCTAATAGCCAGAGAAAAAAATTCCCAAATATAAACTCATTTTTATGACACTTTATCAGCTTGTAGCATAATTATATATAGACATAGATTTCTTCCACTCCTTTGAAGGCAGGAAGTAGGCTAAACATCAGTGATGCTTTGGACATAATAGGTATTTGACAATTTTTTTTTAAAAGAGTATAATTACTTATTAAAGTTATTTCCAAATTATTTTATTTTATTTTTATTTTAAAGACTTTATTTATTCATGCGGATCTGGGGTACAGGCCAGAGATGCGAAGGGTGAGAGGATTCACCAGAGACAGAATGGGGAGCAGAACAGGCAGATTGAGGAAGTACACTGCTGAGGGGAGCAGTGGGTGGGTCAGGTGAAGTTTGCCGCACCATGTGGCTCTCCTCCAGGGCAGGTGGGGATTGAACTCATGTGGAAGTGGCTTTAGCTTCTTTGTGCTGTGCTTTAACCCACTGTGCTACCAAGGAGGGCCCCAAATGATTTTATTTTAATTATTTTTAATTCAGCTAATATTTGGATACTGACATCAGGTATTAACATGGTAATACAACCACCATGTCACCCATAGTCCACCACTATAGTCCATGTGCTTCCTTCCCTCTTTGTGCCAAATTACTGTTATGTTGATGATTATTAATGCAAACAGAATGAAGAAGAATGGGTATATTACATAAGGGAATGAAAATATCTTGGCCTTATTTCATTACATAAGTGTACTTTTGCAATATTGTTTCAATTTTTTTAAGAGTACTTTCCTTATTATTATGTACAAAGACGTCATCTCTTAGTGTTAGAAATATTGGAGTGGCCCATTCAAGAGCAGATTCTAATCTTTCATCAGATGAGGCTTCTGAAATCAAGCATAATTCTGACAATCTTTTCCAAGAAGCATAAAAGCTCAGGAAAAGCAGATAAAGTGCTCTCTTAGCATATGCAAAAAGCAACATAAATTAGAGTATGGATAATAATGTAACAAACTAAAGAAAGTTCCTGTTTTTCACTACACTGATTTTAACAATTTATGACAAAGAAATCATACTACTCACTATACACTGAATTCATTTAAAAAAAAAAAGTTCATATGTAAAAACAACTCCAAATAATTGAAGAGAAATGTTTAGTATTACCATTCTAAGTTGTTAAAGCAAAGAAAAAGGAAAAAGAGGATGGAGTTAATGGAACCCACAGGCTACTGATGTGGCAGTTTATCAAATGTAGCTGTAATGAAAGATAAATAATACAGGCAATTCACACTTCATGAAAGGATAAAAGTGTCAGTGTGTAGGTACCAGTTTTACTGCAGGCCATAATCAGCAAGTAAACGAAAGTGCAATGTCTAAAAAGTTTATAGCCTTCTATGAAGGCCTCGTCTTGTCAGGTATTGATTTAGGTATTCAGACGACTTCACTGGTATTAAACAAATTGAGTGTTTGTGAACTTAGAGGACATGTTCTATTTCTCCCAACAAAAGTTGCCCCAAGCTTAATGCTAAGTTGTTTCTATCACTTAAATTTAAGGAAAATGAAGAAAATGCTGAAATGATAGCTCACACAATTATTTTCTTCTTAAACAGAGGGCAATCCAAAGTGAACGTCTCATACTCTCCACCTTCTCCACAAACATGGACTCCATACTTCTTAGAAAGCTGAAAATAAGATCAGAAAGGAAAAAAAGAAAAGGAATAGAAACTTAGCAAAATTACTCACTTAATTTATCTTATTTTGTCTTTCATGCAAGAAGCTAATTCCAAAAGTGATAGCAAGCTACAGCATCACAACTTTGTATTTCTGCTAAAAATGCGTAAAGCCATTTGAAAAAAGGTAACATTTTTAATAATCCCAAAACCTTTACAAGATGTATAAGTCATCAACATTTTTGTGTACACAGAGAAAACTTAAGGATGACTATAAATTTTAGAAATGATACTAGCTTTAGATCTAAAGGGAGACTAAGGAGGAATATACTCAATCATTATGTCATAAATAAGAATATATGCAGCCCAGTTGTACTTTCCCCACTTTTTGACCTTTACATGGAAAGGACAAAAAGAAAGGTGGGTGGGTTGTGTTTAAATCATTTCTCAGAGATGAAGAAAAAAAAAATCCAATACCTTTCCTTAAGTTTGTGAACAAGAAGTTACAGACATAGTCATTTGTTGGAGGCTATTATCATTAGTAAATTTCCAAGTTATTGAAAATTAGTATAATTCCAAAGCAACAGAAAGATCTTAAGAAGGACTAAGTCTAAAAAAGTTTGGATAGGGCCCTTCCTGGTGGCGCAAGGGGTTAGGACGCAGCATTGCAAGCTAGCTGTAGCCACTTCAGTGGGAGTTCGGAGGTGACCCACATGAACGCAGCAGACCTCTCCTGTCTCGCCTGCTGCTCCCTTCAGCAGTGTACTTCATCGATCTGTCTGTTCTGCCCTTCACTCTGTCTCTGGTGAAGCCTCTCACTGCCCCTGCACCTCTCTCTGGCCTGTACCCCAGTTCTGCATGCATAAATAAATAAATAATTTTTTTAAAGATTTATTTATGCATACAGAACTGGGGTACAGGCCAGAGATGCGGAGGGTGAGAGAATTCACCAGGGACAGAGTGGGGAGCAGAACAGGCAGATCGATGAAGTACACTGCTGAGGGGAGCAGCGGGCGGGTCAGGAGAGGTCTGCCACGCCATGTGGTCACCTCCAGGGCAGGTGGGAATCGAACTCTTGCGGAAGTGGCTTTAGATTCTCAGTGCAGTGCTTTAACCCGCTGCGCCACCAGGGAGGGCCAATAAATAAATATTTTTTAAAAATTGGATAAATATCCAATTAAACTAGAAACTAAAAAAACTAAAAGCACCCCTAGCCTCCTGTAATTAGGCATAAGTGATACTGTTTACATGATCCTGACTCAAGGAGTAAAATAATCTTCTATGAGATAGGTACAGGACTAGAGTAAGTGCTGGGGAACATTCTCATGGGCTGCATCATAAAATCTTCCTGCTTCTGTGCTGAGATCTTATCACTATAATTCCATCTGCTTTATTCTGAATTTCATAGTTTTTTGGCTAACAGCTTCTCCTCGGCCAAAGTCCTCACAATTTAAAGGAAAGTGACTACACTGATGTTCTCTTACTGTCAGCCCAGGGACTATGGCCTACCTCTTCAGTTTTACTTGCGATAGGTACATATTTATCTGTTTATTTTGTGGTTGTGTTAGCATTCCAAATCCATTACATTTCCACTTTTGAATATGTACCCTTAGGGAATGAAACTTTTGGTCTGGTAGAATTCTACTGCTGCCTCTGAGGATCAGTAATGTGAAAGACACTGTAAAGCCAAATAGCAAGAAAGTGAGAGAAAGAAAACTTGGTGGTATTTTCTAGAACAGTTCACAAGAACAAAGCAGATAAATCTCTACCACTTGGGTCATGAAGTAGGGAATAATCAAGGCATACAAATTACAGCTGGTCCTTATAGAAGCACATAACTGGAACAGCATTAAACCAGATTGAATTAATGCCTGCATTGTAATAATAAAGTGGGGATATTAACAGTATATGGATTTCAAGGGCGCTTCCTTGTCTTATCAGCTAGAGCCTGGTTTCTTTGCTGATCATTCTTTGCAGATCTACCTTTCACCAGTCTTAACATTGTGGCAATTTTCCACCAAGTGAAAAGTCTAATCTCACCTTTATGGTTCTCCCTTTATGGTACGTGTATATCAATTATTAGCTTTCTTTTATTAGAAAATGTTTTATTGACATTTTGCATAATTCTTGTAATACATCAAGTTATTTGCTGGCATGGTTATAATCTATTAGTTCCTAGTGAAAAAGAATGTAACCTTCTACATCAAACCAACATATTACCATTAAAGTCTGGATACATCGAATGATATTTTTAAATTAACAAGGGATGTTTCCATACTGCTAATTACTCAATCAGCTCTTTTATTAGCCAGACTAATGAGGGTGACCCAATAGTAAACAAGATGATATCCCTTGTCTCTTGATATTTACCAAATATACACACTCTATATACCAATACCACAAAATAATAATAAAACTGACATTTTCTTGAAAAAAAAAAAAAAGCACAATCTTTTTTTTTTTTTCTTTTCTCTCTGATAACTGATTTACCAGAATGGGTATGAATTTCAAGTCAAGAAATCTTAATGAAAAGCTTAGTGGTTTCTAAGTGGTGTGCCTATAAATCCCTAAGATGCCCTTTTTGTTCCTCCAAACTCTACTAACTTCAAATTCTAAGAATTTGTTTATAAATCCCTAAGATGTCTTTTTTCATCCCTCCAAAGTCTACTAACTTCAGATTCTAAGAAACGTTAAGTTCTCAGAGTACCTGTAATAGAGAAATCCTATTTTTTTGGTTTCCTTTTAGCCAGCTCTGTGGTACTTTTACATTCAGAAAAAACTTTGATAGAATCTTGAAGACATTACTTCAAAGAAGTAAGTAACAAAAGATCACATGTTTTATGATTCTGTTTATATGACAGTAAAGAATGGGTCAGCCTATAGGAAAGCAGGAAGATAAATAATGGAATATCCTAAAATTAATTTGTTATAGTGATGGCTATATAAGTTACTATATTAAACACCATTAAATTGTTAAAAGAAAAAGTGAAGTCTAGACTACTCAATTTATTTAATGAATTTTTTTTGCTAAAATATGAAATCCTAATATAAAATTTTGAAGCACAAATGCATAATGTTTGCATGCAATAGAAAGGGTGGGTTTAGGTAACTGAAGAATCCAGATATGCAATTTGAAGGCATATTTGTGATACACAACATTGAATTTACTTTTTTAAAACCTGGAGATGAATATTACTAACATTTTATGGTTCACAGAAAAGCAGCATTTTTATTCCTGACATGTCTCAGATCTATTTCTAGATACAAATAAAAAGTCATTAAGAAATGTAAAAAAAACAGTGACCTATAATCAAGATAAAAATAAACAGAAAATGGAAACAGACTCATATTAACCATATAATCCTGCAGACAAGGATTTTAACTGTTTTAACTATGTTAAAGGATTTAATGGAAAAGACAGACAAAGTTCACACACATAGTAAGTTCAGCTGAGGTGGGAAAACGGGCAGATTTAGGTTCATGTTCCATTTTCAAAAATTTTTGGGACTAGGATGTGGGATGATTGCCTAACTTCTCTGAATTTACTTAGGAAAATGTATAAACGAGTAAGGATTTATCTTTTAGAAATACCTCTGGCTGAGCAATGGAGAATGAGCTGTAAAGGATCAAGCCAAGAAGCAGAAAGCACTGAGAACTTGTTGGAGGAATCTGGGCAGGAGGTAAAGAAGCACTGAGGATAGAGAGGAGAGGACAGATGTTTTGAAAGACTTTTAGGAAGTTAAAATAAGTAATTGGATGAAGGAATAAGGAGGCTAAAAAATTTTAAGGAAAATTTCCATGTTTCTGCATTGGGAAACTGGATGAATGGTGGTTCTGTTTATTATTAACTCAGCATAAGGAGTAGTTTGGTGGCAGATAGACATCCAAGATACTGATTTTTTCCTATGCCTTTTGAACTCCCTTCTTCTGAACCTAAATTATAAATATCCTTCATGATTTTCTCTGTAATATGTTCTTCTTTAGCAATTTATTCCCTCACATATATCATGATTTCAACTCTCATCTTTATTGTTATTCTGCTGCTAATACTAATATTAAATATAATAATATGAAGAATATTTGCATTATACCATAAAGTTAAATGATAATGATTATCTTATTTAACCCTTAAAATAATGACAAAAAATAAAAAAAGACATAGGTTCTAAAATAGATTTAAGCATAAATTTAAGATCTTCCATTTTCCAAGTGAGTTATTTTGTAAAAGTAATTTATTTTCTGAGCGAATCATTATCTATAAAATGTAAATCTTGAAAGTAGCAACCTTACTGGCATCTCAGATGATTTTAAGCAAACAATGCAAGTGAATCAATTATTACACAGGCATGTAGTAAAAACTTAATAAATACACATCTGAAGTATAAGGTTAGGTAGAGCTCCAATGCTGGTAAGGTACAATGAAAACAGCAGCAAGAATGGCCTGTATCAAAAAGACCAGAAATAACATGTGCTGGAGAAGTTGTGAAGAAAAAGGAACGCTTATGTACTGTGGATAGGAATGTGGACTGCCTGGGTCTATGGAAAGCAGTATAGAGGTTTCTCAAAGGATAGGTCTGCCATATGATCCAATATTACTCCTATCAACAAAATCCAAACAACTAATTCAAAAGGAAACCTGTTTACTGCAACACTCTTTAAAATAGGCAAGATATGGAAACTGCCCAAATGTCCAAAAACAAATGAGTGGTTCAAGACGATGTGGTATATGCATTATGGAATACTATGTGGTGATCAAAAAAGATAAACTCAGGCCATTTGCAGAAACATGGATGGAGTTGGAAATTAAATGAAATTAGCCAAAAGGAGAAAGATAAATACCAGATGGTATCATCTATTATGCGGAATATAGAAAAACTAAACAAAAGCTCAGAAAAAGATAGGCTTTAAAACCAACTCTTGGAAGCTGATCCTGGGTGTTCAAAGAGGGAGGGTGTGGGAGATGGGTGAAAACGGCAGGGTGGAGAGAGAACATGATGGGCTACAGTGGAGGA